TGCGATAGCATTTGATGGGGAGTTTGATGGGAAATTGATGTTATGTGACAATACCTCCACATAACATCAGATTGGCGCCAATTTCCGCTTTAAATTTAGTGGGAAAATAATCATAGTGTCCCGTGACGCCTCAGTTACACATGGCATCACAAGTTATCGGCTAAATGTAGGAGGGAAATTAACGTACGTCATGGTACCACGGGTCAGCACGACTTGAAACGGCGATGTCAATCTTGCCGCCAAATTTCGCGGGGAAATTAAAGTCAGGTGATACCTTGACGTCACGTGACTTTGTTCCGTCACGAAGTCAGATTAAGAAAAGTAAAAGGGCCCGCCGTGGAGGGTTCCCGTATAAAGCTATCGCTTTCAGTATAGTTTTTCAAGCGGCATGTGTTCACTAAATGATCGTTCAATTTTTCTTGCTACAGGAACGTGGAAAGACATCCTTCGCATGCTGAGCTGTCCTGGAGTCATCCGAAAGGACACTTGAATAACAAGACCTCCGATTTCGAGAAAAATATGAGGCGCACTTGCCACGACTTGCTGGCCAACTTGTATTCAGTACACGGACACAGCCGGCAAGAAAGCGTCCGCTTCCGAAGATCTTCGGCGCCTGTTTGCAACAGGCCATCGACGCTGGTCAAGCGACTGTCATTTTCGACACCGCCTTCGCACGGCGTGGAACCGAGGCCTAGCTTAGGATCGACCCAAGTCTCCGTTCCCGCACCGCGATGTGACAACCACTGCAGACACAATCCAGAATTGAGTTCAACACTCTCGAACGTAGCATCAGCCTCCGGCGGATCAACCAACATATCGAACCACGGCAATCTAAAAGAAAAGCGTTCGCGAGCAGTTGAGTGTAAGGTGCCGCATACGACCGAATTTAGACAACATCTTCCAACAGTGAGACATGATAAGTATGTACCCGATCATATCCGAGTTCGAGAAGCAGGTGTGCTAAGCACTAGGGTTGACGTCGCACATAAACCTAGATCTTCTCTTTGCGTATCTACGTCATCACAAGTCATTCAGAGTCTTCAGTTAGCGAAACCAAAGACTGCTTTCCCACCGAAGATGTCCCCGCTGTCACTCCCCGTGTCTGGTGACGTATGTCCTCTAAGGTTCGGGTTGGATTCAGCAGCCAGTGTTCATCCTGGCAGCGGTGAAGGACAAGTCTCAAGGATGTTTGTCTACCCTGAATCCATGGTGTGTGAGAAACTTTCGACGCAATCTTCTATTCGCTACAAGAAAACTCACAAACCAGTCGAAAGCTGCCACCCTCGAGTCATCTCGCCTACTGTTTTTCATCCATCTCTGCCACATGCTTCTGTCCAGAGTGGTACAACCAACAAAGCAAACTCTACTAAATTAAAGACGGAATCCGGACATCAACGTGCTCTCTCCCCAAAAACAGAAGTTGTGAAAGATGTCAGCCGCATCGCAATCAAGTCCAGCATTCTCAATCGGTGGAGTGTTCTAGGTGGGGCCTTTTCTCAAGATCCGTCATCGCCGAGGAGCAGCAGCATGCCAACTCTTTTCAAAGGTAAAGTCGTGCGTTACAAATGTGATAATTGTTAAAAAAGTGGTCAAAGATGTGTGACTGAAAGGTATCTCCCATGAGCGCGTAAATTTTATTTTATAACAAAAGTCTAGCACTGTACAAGCGCATTTCACAACAATTTGGTCACCCCATTCGAAACTGTCAGTGTCAAACTTTGGTAGAGGGTTTTAAGTCCGTCGCCAAATATTTATATTGTTTTGTATAATCGAAGTACATGACAGTACCAAATAACTAGTGACATAGTATTGTTTTCCGGATCTGCCATTTATAATCCATGTATGTAATAAATAACCTACTCCGGACATTCCACTAAGCACACAATTTGATACCTTTGCATCACGCCATCTTTGGGCGGGTCTCCACTAGTTCATTTCATATCTTAGCTCCGCAAGGCTGACAGGATTCAACAAAGGGAAGATATCATTAATTTATATTTCACCTACCTTTCCGGCGCACTAAGAAAGCTGCGCCTGCCTCCTCCATATATCGCACTTAAATGTTCGCCAAGTACTTATACGTAAGCCCCAAATAAGTACGTTACTTCAGTTGCAATGGCTTTGTCTATGCATGTACCATTCTGAAAAAAAAAAAAAAAGAAATCCGAAGTCCGGAATGCGGTTACTAGTAAGTGAATCATTTTGGGCCAATTCTGTTCACGTAAGGGAGCTTTGAGCCCGTTTCTAACACTTGTTAACCAGTTGGGTGTAATGTGAAAATCCCGGAGTAAAGTTCAACCCATTCTGCTCATCCGTAGCCTAGAAATGAAGCCGGCGTTATTATAACGTAAAACAATATCCTAGTTGTCAATGTTCAAACCAAAGCTGCCATTGCTGTAATAACGAAGGGCTAAATACACATATATGTACATTGTCAAGCCCGGGTACGTCCCACAGTGAACCCAGAGGGACACTAAGCCTACTTTACCGCCCATTTCTCAAATAAGGACCACAGGTTGTAAAGCGTTGGAAACCGATACTTAGCTGCCTATAATTGCTTTGGATATAGCCCACGTTGGTTCAGCAGGGGCTATGTAGTACGTACATTTTATATGCTGTGTGGGCTGTTTTTTACGGCTCTAGTGAATTACCATTTTGGAGCCCGAACACTCAAGAACGTCATTTTAGAGCCTAAACAGTCTAACACTCTAGGAGTGTAGGAATGTTGCTACTGTGTCGCTCAAGTTCGCTGCCTGTGTAAACCTCACCTTTGGGAGTGTGCTTGCGATGCCACTTAAAGGAGCCAACTAACAATACATCGGTTATGTTAGCTGGCTTTCCTAAGTGGCATCTTAAGCACACTTTTAAAGGTGAGTCTTACACAGGCAGCCATATACAGCATAAAACTTACACTGCTTACACAGATTACAGGCTTAGACAGTCTTGCACAGTTGAAATAACTAATGGAATAATATCAATACAGCTCAGTATACCATTACACCAAAGACAGCAGTTATCATATAAACAAACCTTAAAGCTTGATCAGGATTTACTTAGGTAGCGAGAACTCAAAGCACCCCTTCCTTGAAAAGACATAATGCAGAATTTCTCCATTAATTCCCCGTGGGACGTTGGATTTTCCAAAACATCTATTTTGCTCCGTTCGATCTTGATGCGCCATTCTAAAAGCTGGTTCACACAACGTGACGGCTTATGATCTAGTGCTTGTAATCAATGGACCCTTTTCAAGAACGGTTCTGCACAGGCGCAGGCATTCCTCTCACAACGGCGAAAGTTTAACCTTCGGTTGGCGTCAGGAAGAACGGTTGCACTACCTCTCCTGCCTCTTCCGGGACTCCAATCAGCCGCAGAGAAAGCAGGGAAGGTATCACAGCTCTCATTTCATCCACCAACCGTAGTTGGACTTTTAGCCGCTTGGTGCCGTCTTTATGCGAAAAAGGTCCATTACGACTATCAATTACGGTGCCATCTGCACATGGGATTTCCGTAATTTCCCAACTTTTTCGCACATGATTTTTTTATTTTTTGTCTTGAAAGCATTTTAACGGTGTACAAAACAATCATTTCGCATAGATATGACGTATATTTCATCTCGCAAATACCGCCAAACCTTTCATCTAGTGAAGGCAGTTCCACAGTCTCTTCATAGATGGCGCCAGCGTAGTCGTGTTTTCTCTCTTAGAGATCACAAGAACTCGGTCGCAAGCAAACACAGGTGTGTAAACGGGCGTCTATCGTGCGTGATACATTTAAATTTCGACCGCGGGTTACTTCGGTCAGTGATTTCGCAAATGTCGACAGAAAACAATCGCTTCATTACGCGTCATATACAATGATTCAAAAGTATGACCTCAGCGTGGTTTTAGTATTAAGCCTCAATGTTCGACCAAAAAATCCACTTCCTTACACTTTTTTTTGTTCACTTGTGCAGAAGGTGAGGGTAAATCAAACGAACCTACTGCGTGGTTCAAGTTAGGGGGGCAACATTTATCCAGCGCAGTACGACTGCTAACTCTTTAACGTGCATCAAGCAGTATACATCCTCGAAGACACACCCATTTGACTATCATTTGTATTAAAACTGGCAGGGCAAAATTGGGGACAACGGGACATGCCCAAGGAGAGCCTTTACTGTTACGATGCTAAAGCACACTTTGTATTGTTAAAAACGCAACGTATTCACCAATTTAACAGATAATCTGACGTTAACAACCAGCCTATTGGAGAGACGGTAAATAAATATGATACTATGAAGGTTCGTATTAGTCCTGTTTGTCTTTGAAAAGGAATGCTAAGGCAATTGGCACCGAATCATTACATTGCGGCACAATCATAAAAAATCTGGTTCACCCTTTTCAACTCACGCCCCCTTCTATGGTGTCATACAAAGCCCTTTATTTCGGTAAACGAGCTTTGTGAAGTCACGGGGAATTATCTAAAGAAAAACAGAAAAAAGAAACACAAACTTAGCGCGTTTTTAATTGTGTTGCGTGTTTGTTGAAACAGCAGGAGGTTTATCAGCCCTAATGGGCGTCTGGCGTCTCTGCTGTTGATGAGAAATTTGGTGAGTGCAGTGCCGCTCCTAGCCTGGGGTCCTCAACCTTCACCATGCAGTAGCGTGTACACGACTGCTTGCCGGAAGAATGCATATCCAATTTAAAACTGACAGGGTGGGAGTTAAGACAATACCCCCCCCCCCCCCCCTTCTCTCCTCCCAAACGTCGTCACTATGGGGATCGGTGCGGCGCGTCGACACATCAGCTACCGATCCCCCTGGTTGACATTGCCTGTTCTATAGAACATGCTAGAAAATATTTTGTTATACTATTTATGCTAGAAAAGCTATTCGTATGCACCTCAACGCATAAATAATTTCAGTGAATTACAGCGTGCCACCGGGAGAAAACAGTGCTGTTGTCTCGATTATCTAGAAAGGGCTACCCAGAGGTGAGCGCCACGCTCCAACCTCAAGTTATCTCAATTGTCGATTGTCCAGCTCTGCGGCTTGGACGTGGTCGAGTACCTCGATAAGATACAATTGTGAAGCGAAATGCGACATGCCTCAGGCGGGATCCCCGCGAAACACGTCATGCATCGTGCCAAAGTGTATGTGATGATTTTCCATGCAACAGGTCCTGACAAGCTGGGCATGGGCGGTGTGAATCCAGCGCGGGTCAGGAAGAAAAAATGTGACGTCTCATCAACGATTCTACGCATCAAAAGCACGCCGTGTATTATGGAGGATAATTTCAAGTCGTCTTTGCCGTCTGCGAATTCGTTTCACACCAGGTAAGAAATACCTGTGACGAGCAGGGAGTATGTTGAGGTTCGCAATCTCGAGATTGAATTACTATTATCATAAACATCGTCATTCGATTTTGTTCGAGATGTTGAAAGGGCGGTATATGAGGAAGTGGCGTGTAAGACATGGAATATAATCGACACGGAGCACGTGAGACTGTAGTGCGTTGTTTCTGTTGTTTATATGCAGTGAAAATGTTAACATAGGAGGGAATAGGGTGGATAATGACCTTAGATCTGATTTGTAGAAACGGCCGAAAACAGAGAGGTTATATGTGAGACGATAACAAATATTATCTGAAATTGTAAGTTCGATAAAATATTTGATGAAGTCGAGGCTCAAGAAAGAGTGTGTTAAAAATTGCTGTTTGACATAATCCTGAGATGCTTAAATACACGATGCGATACATCTCAATACTGTGCATTACGTAACTTCTTTTTTCTACATAAGCATGCGAGTAATGGCCAGAGAAAAGATAGCAGAAAATTAGCTTTTCTCTAGCTACGACACGGTAGAAAAATCTGATGGGTTCAGAAAAGTAGTTCGACGTGATTGCGAGTCAGGTATACATGAGTACGCCAACCATGCCATCAAGGAACAAAGGCAAAGTAAAATATTAACATTGAGAAAACATTTTGTTCCTACTGCTTCCATATAGTGATTAAAATACTCATTGGATAGGAAAGATGAAGCATAACGAATTCACTCTTTTCTATTATTAGTACTACACTTCGGCACTTGCAAATGACAGAGATGTCTAGACAAGCAATATTTACTTTTTTTCAATTGAGATAGCTGAAGACCTGTATCGGTTCATTCATATGCGCAACATGGATAGGAATTTAGCCTATAATTTAAACAATTTTTTAATATACATATGTATATTATTTTAAAATAAGAAAAAATATTCTTCACACTAATTTATAAAAACATAAATGAAAATGAAAAAGCGAATTATATAAAAAGAAAGTTACGCGTGTTGAAATCGTGCAGCTGCGAAGTTTCGTGCGAGCTTCTAAATTCCTTCGCCCTGTATGTCATCGGAAAGACCGCGAAATAAACCAGCCCGGTGAAGGGGTGCTATGAAAGGCGCGTTGGCGCACCATGGAAGTCCTTTTGTTCCTAACAATTTTTTTCTTTTATTATGTGACACCATTCTAAAGCGTTTGAAACAATAAACGGTAAGGGTCTTGGGGTTGTCAGTGGCGTTTTTAGAAGTGCACCGCTCTCCCTCCGATTAGTCACCCAGGAAATCTTGTCTGAATATCACTACCTAAAATAGAAAGAATAAAAACCCGGATGACGTCCACAGACAGCCACACTCATTCAGTTAGGAACGACGAATGCTTATTTTCGGGCACGAAAAATTCGCGTGTCAACCAGGTCGACGCGCGTCGACGAATGTTTATTTTTGGACACGAATAATTCGCCTGTGTCGGCCTGGTCGACGCGCGAATTTTTCGTGTCCGTAAATAAACATTCGTCGTTGGTATCTGAAAGAGTGTGGTTCGCTGTGAACGTCCTCCGTGTTTTTATCCTTTCTGTTTTAAGTATTCATAATTACGACATGCTCGCTTGAACCAGCTATCACTGTTTCGGTGATATTACTACACGCTGTCCCCTAACTCGTTCGATTTATTTGCACCATGTGTACTCGGTGCAGACCGCCGTATATTCGATTTACGAGTGCAGCCTATCTGAAAACATAACCGGAAGTACATTTCCGTTTTCCTTTCTGTACCGCGCTACACTTTTCTGTACTGGTGCGGGCTGGTGGAGGTGAATTTAAAGAGCACAGTGGACATCATGCAACGTTCACCTTTTTCACGTCATAAGAAGAATGGAACAATGCAATGCCAGGTTCATTATCTCGCCCAAAAGAAGAAACACTCTCCCCGTTTTTTTTTTTCTTACTGAAAGAACGAACGATAAAACAAAAAAAAAAAGTAAAGACGTTTACAATTTTTTGTAATGCCGAATTAGAGCGTAACTCTTGAGGAGGAGGAGGGGAGGGTACGGAGGGGAGGGTATGCCCCTCCTCCCTCTCAGTACCTTCCCAGTAACTTCCCAGTAACGTTTGCCCACTAAATTTAGCGGCGAAATATTTCTGCAAAATTTAGCGGGAAATTCCCGTTCAAGCCAGAAATAAACGCCCAAAAGCTGCGTTAAAAAAAAAAAAAAGTTTAATTTAACAGTACAACTAAGAGACAAGGACCTTGTCGAAGATGCCGTTATAGGTTCAGAAATGTTTGAGCTGCATGATCACTTAATAGCCGCCGCGAAATTTAGTTGTCCACTTATTCGGCAGATTCTTTTTAACTTTATTTCTGTGTGTATTTTGTGTGCAGTCGTCTAATTGACTGCTAGTACGTTGTCCCTCCAGCTATGCCGTCTCTTCAGGGGGCCTTTAAGATGAAATAAAATGAAATAACTAAATAAAGTAAAAATATATACTCAAGTGTTTTTCTTTTTTTTTGTGTGTGTGTGGTTTCAATGTTACACTATTTTGTTGAAGGTAGTGCGTTTTTAGTCGTGAATATTAATTTCGGCATTGAAATAAAATAATAACCCCTAGTAAGTATATAAGTGTTAAATGTATGTATCACGTTATTATCGCAAGTAAAAACGCATGTTTTGTTTCTTGAACTCATTGAGGCCAGGTTTTGCAACTTACGCCACTGCCCACGTGCAGCTTTTTTTTTGGGTGGACGTAGGTGTACTAAAAATGCAGTGCTGTGTCTATTACCGGAAATATGTAACGAAATAGCATTAATGGTCAGTTCGTGAAAAGTTGACGCGTTACTGAAATTCCTTATCGTTCAGGAAATATAACAACTTTACAGCACTTTTGTATAACTTTAGATTTCAGAAGTTGGCAGCAATAAGCCGCTCATACGAACTTGGACAACAATTAAAGATTCACAGAGCGATTTCCTAGTTGAATTCTTTGTTTATCAAATTTATAGAACGCAGCGAGGCCTCGATGGCGCATTTACCTCTAAAGGGATAGAAAACGTGACTAATTTTAATCAAAAGTAGCGAGGAACGTAATTGTGGTAGACAACGCTGTAAAAGAGTAACGAAACTACTTACTCGTTAGCCATTTCGGATTCCGACAAGCAAGTTTGTACGTTACCGGAACACCAAAACGTCATCAGTACCTTCATTACTTGTAACGCGTTACTTCCAACACCATTAAAATGCCCCAGCGTGCGCTTTCCGACTTTGTACGCTTGCAATCTATGCGGTGTTTTCGTCGTTTTAGGCGTTACCGCTAAAATGTAACAAATTATGCTACTCGCTATTGCAAATAAAAGAAATGAGTTGCGGACCTATCTTACTCGAGAATAAAAGGAACGTGTAACAGTAACTGTCACAAATAAAAAGTAACGCACGTTACTTTTGTGTTATTTCTAATTTATAAAATTAAAACGGTTTATTAGTTTGAGGTTACCTAGTATGCATAAGCGCCATATTTCAAGAAACATTATGTCCATGCAGAAACCTAATATAATTCTCTTATTTTTCGAACGGTTTTGATTTTGAAGTTATGTGCGATAAGTGAAAGAATTGACATAACTTGGCGCCTAGCAACACGGAAAAATTGAAGTGTATTTTTTTTAACTCTTGGGAAGATGTAAAAAGCAACGTAACTTCGTTACCAGTTACTCAAGATAGACAATGCAAACGCGCTACCCTTTACTGTTTTGAAGAAAAAAAAGTAACGAGTGCGTTACTGCGTTATATATATATATATAAAAAAGAAACACGGGCTACCTGTAACGCTTTTACTCGTAACTTGTTGCCGCCAACGCTTGAAAATTTAGGCTGGCTCTAAAATTGGCCGGAAAACTTGGTGCCTGCTCGTAGCACTCTCAAACTAACCTAAAAAGGGTTTCTTGGTAGGGCGTTTTACCTTTTCTCATATCAACACGTCGTCCCCGTGAATGAAACAGTGCCTTGTCATGCTGAACGGCAGACGGCGACCCAGATGGGAGAGAGCGGCGATTCGAGGGTTGTGTTTGTGGCGCCATCTCCTGATACGTGCGGCGAGCAGACGACGGCGCCGTCTGCTTTCGACTGAGTGCGTCGTACGCCCACTGTGTCTATCGGGAGATGGCGCCACAAGCACAACCCTTGTTTAGGGAGGCTCTAATGAGGGTGGGTGCAACTCAAAACCTGGAGAGCGTTTGCAATTTAATGGCGGCGCCTGAGACAGGGGATTCGAGCACTGATCTCAATGACAATTGCTGGATCGCGCTTGCCGCTCCCGCAAGTGAAGCCACCGGACTTCACTCGCTTGGGATACGATTTGCCGTTTTTGCTAGCCTTTGCTGCGGTTTTCCAGCGTGCTGACGACACGTTTTCTACTCGTTCGTCGTCATTCGCCGAAGAAGCTTTTGAAGACTCTGTGTATTGTTGAGACTTTCCGTCGTGAACACGTGGCAAATTTTACGAAAGTGCAGTGTCGCAGGAAAAAGGCACAACGCGTCGAAAGGAAGGGCTGGCGGCGTGTTCAAAGCTTCCTTGGCACGCCGAAGTGCCGTGTCTCTGTGCCTTCGCACGCTTGGATACCGACCAAGAATCGACGCCGTGTGGATGTGTTTTGCGAGTGCAATGTGCGTGAAGCCGTATCAAAAGGTACAACTCGTCGAAAACCAGTGTCGCCGGTGTCGCGGCGTGATCAAAGCTTCCTTGGCACGCCGAGTGATGCATCTTTGTGCCTTCGCACGCTTGGATACCGGTCAAGAATTGACGCCGCGCCAAAGTTTTGAACGTGTGTCGCGCGTAGAAGCCTTTAGATCATTTATATATATCGGCCACGGAGTTCTGGATCGTCCAGCTGTTCCGGTGAGTTGCTATCAATAAAATGGAGAGATCTGTACGTGTTCTTATGTACTATATTAACCATGGCTATGTCCCAAATCTACTCTAATAGATTCCGTGGGAGCACGAATAGGGCAACGTTGTGGAGCCAGGGGGGTTTTCGAAAGCAAAAGTACAAGACAGCGAGAATGAAAATCTTCGAAGCGCGGCCGATATGGTCGTGTGCAATCTGCTGACCAATTACAATTAGGCGAGCCGCGCTCAAACGTCAAGTGCAATTAAGTAGGTTGATAATAAGCCAGCACTGATCAGTGATGAGGAGCTGTTGTGCACGGTATTGTGTAAATCGTCTAAGGACGAAAAAAAGACTTACCTTCCCCCCATCTTCCGTCGCTAGTGGACGCTGGATTAAGCTCGTTCCTAAACCGCGAGGGGAAAAGACGCTGATTCAGAGGCACGAACAGCTTCACGCACATTGCACTCGCTAGACACATACACACGGCGTCGGTTCTTGGTCGGTATCCAAGCGTGCGAAGGCACAGAGACACGGCACTTCGGCGTGCCAAGGAAACTTTGAACACGCCGCCAGCCCTTCCTTTCGACGCGTTGCGCCTTTTTCCTGCGACACTGCACTTTCGTAAAATTTGCCACGTGTTCACAACGGCAAGTCTCAACAATATACAGAGTCTTCAAAAAACTTCTTCGGCGAATGACGACGAACGAGTAGAAAACGTGGCCACAGCACGCTGGAAAACCGCAGCAAAGGCTAGCAAAAACGGCAAATCGTATCCCAAGCGAGTGAAGTCCGGTGGCTTCACTCGCGCTGCAGCGAACAAGCAGGGAAGCGCGATCCAGCAATTGCCATAGAGATCAGTGGATTCGAGAAAGGTATGCGCCAATGTTGCCTGCAGGAGAGCAGACGCCCGCTCTGTTGTAACTCTGTTGCTCCATGCGCCTTTCCTCCTCTCGTCTCCCATTGCAAGCAACGAGCGCCTTGGCGCAGCCTCTCTCGCTTCCTTCTCGCTCCGAGAATTGCAAACGACGAGCGGAGAAAGCAAAGTTGCCAGACAAGCAGCAACGTCTAAGATGGCGGAATTTACCAGTTTTGCGTTAAAAAATACTTAACCTTTCGCAACAAAACTGGTGGCTATGGAAAAGTAATAATTTATACCTTGTGTATATTATTCAAGCACCTTAATGGGCTCTTATGACCTGAGTTAGGAAATAAAACGACCCTTTGCCCCATAGACTCGCAGCAAAATTTAGCAATTAAATGGCGTCCATGTACCGTGATCCCCGGTCTAGCAGTTCCACCCACCCTCACTTGAGCCTCCCTACCCTTGTCAATTCGGCCACCTGCGTTGTCGTCCGCAGTTTACCGTGGCAAGGATGTTCGTCCCATTTTTCACAAGAAGGAAGATGGGCCTTGAAATTTCTCAAGCTAAAGTGCTCCAGTAAATACACCCTCGATGAGAATTGGAAATATTTACGCGTAGCCGCTGAGTTTTCCGACCGATTTTAGTGAAAGCCTAGTGATAAAATTTTATATGCAATGTCCTTCCGCCCCCCCCCTTTTCCGCGCCACAAAGGAAAAATTTTTCTTTCGTGCACAAATTAGGAGAAAGATATGTGTCGCCGATTGTTTAGTTTCCGCTTAAATGTAGCGGCGGTGGTCCGGACCAGATGCGAGAGTTTTAGAGCTTATTGTTATCTAGTTTCCAAGTTATGAGCAATTAAAAAAAATTTAATGGGAAAATGACGGCCGATGAAGTCCAGGAATGCATAAAGCTGAATGGCGTCAGCTGCCGAAAACGGGACGCCTTTTTCCAATCAAAGTTTAAGAGAATATCACGTAACTTTTGAATCAGATAACGGTTAGTAATGAAACTTTAGTATCTGGTCCTGACCGCTATAGCGATACATTAGGGCGGACACTGGGCGATCGGCGAATAAAAAAATTATTTTTGCGTATAAAAAAAATTAATTTTCTGTTTTTAGAGGCACGTTGCGCTATTGTCACTGGCAGGATGAGAACGGCTGGGCGTATCTTTCGGTTAGCCGGTCTCCAGCACACGCATGTTGCTTTCCACCGTGCTTTGGATGTCCATGCCCGTTCAAAGGCTAGGGGACGTTATCCAAGCTAGGAAGCTCGCGCTGGAGGTGAGGCAACTGAAACTTAACTTTCAGTTCTAATCCCCTCAGTGACTATACTTAACAGGCATGCGGAAGTAACTACTTTAATTTGTCTGACACGCTCTCTTCCCAATCCAGCGACTCCGTCCTGTACCGCGGCACGAGATCCACTTGCTCTCTCAACTCCGCGGCGTCGTCGTCCCTGTCCGAAGGCTCGTGGACGCTTCGGGAACGCTTCCGGGGTCTGCGCCGCGGCGCCCAGTCGGCCCTGCTCAGGGCCTTCAGCACGGAGAGCATCTACAGGCCGCAGAAGAGCGAGATCTCGGCGGCGGTGGCGACGGAGCAGGAACGGCAGAACGGAGAAGAGCCGACGCCGCGACCGAAGTCCACATCTCGGGTGTCTGGGCTCAAGGAGCGGATGAGCTTTCGTCGCAAGAAGAGGCACCTCACGTCCCAGGGACCCGCTGTTCAAATCAGTGCAGACAGGTAGGCCTTACAGTGACTGCGGTGTCAGGTGTGTTAGCGCTAACATCTGGCTGTTACTTATTTTCGACAATAGACTTCTTGCATTAAACCTAGAGGAAAATGTCCGCAGTGTTAGCGTCGATTTTCGGTCGCCTCGGAACTATAGGACATAAAGGCAGGCATCTGTGGTCATAGGAGATCCAGATCGCTAGCGATAATTTTCTTTTTTTAAAAACAAAGAAGTAGCTATAAATATCATTCGCAAGATCGCACATCGTCTTTTCGAGCTTCGGTTCGCAAACGAAACGTCAGGCATCCTACACTGCGTCAATAAAAACGAGGTTTACAAGAGAACCAGCACCTTCAACTCGCCAATAGGGATGTAGCTAGCGATACTGCCGAAGTTCAAATTTAACCAAGTTCGACTGTTTCAAACTTCTAACGTGAAGTTGGACAAAGGTTTGACAAAAGTTAGACTTTTGGGCGCACGCACGTAAATTAAAAGAAAAAAATATTTCTTACGCCACTTTGCGGACAAAAAGTGCAATCCAATACTTGTGGGGTATCTTATTTCGTTTTACATTTCGTTTGAGGGTAATTAAAATTTCGATAACAGAAAGGCATTTAACGAAACGCCGTAGTGATATTACGTCTATGCCGCAAAGTTCAATGTGAATAGTTTTAGTTTTCTTCAAGGAATTAAAAAGAAATGGAGAAATCCAGGACTGCAAGCTGCTTTTTTTGCAGTTTTACGATCCCTGACAAAACGTTTGCCGGAAGAGCCAGTAAAACATTTAAAAAAAATTATATAAAAGTATGACTATTTGGATTATTAAGACTAGGTACAATAAACATACCTAAATTTAAAAAAAAAAAAAAACACTTAAATCTATACCTGTTTTTACCTCAAAAACCGTAGTAAAAAACGTCCGGCTCCACGTGGAGCATTACTAATTTCCCTCTTTATCTTGATAATTAAGATATATGCAGGTGAATTTTAGATTACATATATGCTATCTTGCCAAGACGCAAGCGTTTCCAACGCTAAAAGCATCACTTTTCCCCCTGACAACCAAATCTCGTGAGAACTACTTCGCACCGCGTATGAACAATGCTCAAAACTTGCTTTTTTCTTGAGGTGAAAACGGGTATAGTGTCAATGAAAAGACACAGAATTAAAACCAGACTCTCTGTGATACGATGTTGCTTTGGTTGAGATTTGTTTTACCCCAGTGTGGTTCATATTCTTTTTCTTTTTTTTATCAAGCTCGTACGTTAGACTATAGATACGTCAAAGTGTATTTGCAATGTCTAAAGCCGTAATGCCCGTGTCCCACTAGAGCAACAGACAGAAACGAAAGACAGCGACAAGCCTCACACCCATGCAGCATGCTCGCGATGGTACCTTTGGCAGGCGTTTAGTCGTTCGGTGCTCGTGAAGTAAGCGCGAGCGATTGCGAGTCTGCCAAAGGTACCCTCGCGTGCATGATGCTCGTGATTGAGCATAGCCTCCTTTATTCTACGAAGCCTCTCAAATCGCGAAAGACTCTGGTTTGAGGCATGTCGTTGTCGTTTGTTTCTGTCTGTCGCTCTAGTGGGACACGGGCATAATCAGTACGCGGATATGAAATCCACCCCGTCTTACCACAACGAGTGACATAATTCTACAAAAAAAAAAAAACAAAAAAAAAAAACGTAGGAAAGCTTGGTGATTGACTGCCATACTTAAACCCGAAGCTAGACTTGCGTTTTTCGTATTTTTTTTATCTTTTTTTTTTACCTCAGATAATACTAACTCTATTTCGTGACTGATGACAATGCCAAGAAAGAAAATCTTGAGGCCTCGGAACCATTAAGTAAAGCGAGATTCCTTGAGACTTCCCATGGCGTAACCTAATCATTTGATGCGCATCAATTCCTCTCTTTGCTTGCCTTTCATGCTTCCGAAGTGACACCGACCCACTGTGGACGGGCGGGCAGCCGGCACATGTGTGCGGACAGCTCCTTCAGGGAAACGCGGACGGGTCCCACGTGGTCGAGTTGAGTCGGCCTCAGGGACAGTCCTTCGGGTTCTTCCTAGCCCGGGGTCGCATCCGAGACCACCAAGGCGTCTTCGTGTCCCGCATGCACGACGGCCACACAGAACAGGTATGGCAAATTGCACAGTTATCGTTTTACTACTCTATAGCTAATTAGACGCGGAGGAAAAAAGAATTTGGGAAATGAGAACTCGTAAGCATACGAGCTGCAGTGCTCGGTCAGACTGAAGAAACTTCGAGGCAAGAAAAAAACGAAAAGAAAACAAACACAACAAGGACTCAGAACACCACTCCCAACATATGCTCAGTTTTATTTAACTTTTTTTTTTGCGTGTTTTGTGTTTTGGATTTGCTTGCGTGATTTTTTTTTCGAACTTTTCTTTCATTAAAAAAGTAATGAGTTTTTTTCCTTATTAATTTAGGCGAAACGGGTAGCAATATTTTCTTTTAATTACTTCGGTGTTACAGCTGGCTATATCGAGACTGACTCGTCAAGGCTATGCTGGGCTTCTTATCTATTACACTCGCTATCTCGAACATTCGGCCTAGAATGTTCGATACTGATTCGGTAAGGCCATGCAGGGCCCCTTATCTCAGACATTCGGCCTAGAATGTTGGAGCGTCGAACATTCGGGGTATGCCTAAGCAGGACTCTTCAAGAAGTCCGGAGAAGAGCGAATGAATAAAAGTAGCGTCTGGCGCCAGGCATCGAACCCCGGGCGCTTGCGGGAAAGCCACGCGCGTTCTCCCTCTCGGCCGAGCACGCGGCAGTATTTTCAGATACTTTTGACCAGCATCTGCAGCGACTTTCACAAATGCTTTCTTGCCGATCGCTAACGCCGGCTTATAACGAAACACAAGAAAGTACCCATTCGCAGTAAAATCTATTGAGATATTCGGTTACCTTGGTTCTAAGGACGGTATAGGTGCCGACTCAGACAAGGTCGAATCCGTGTCAGAATTTCTTCAGGCTCCGTCCCTGGTCTTAACCCAGTAGGACGTTGGTGCGTCCGAGGAGCTAAGGAAAGTATCCGCAACACCTCGGTCTCTCAGCCACACCTGGTTGCCGGCAGAAAGACTAGGCAGTGGTTTAGCAGCACGACGCTTGTCAAAGTACGTTTTCTGCTTCTGCAAATACTCTTCGTCCCTCTTCTTCCAAGAAGAGTTTACCACGCGCGGTTTGAGCTAGGATGGAGCGCAAGGCTTTCTTGAGCGCAATCGTCGGCTCACAAGAAGCTGTGCGGGATAAACCCTGTAGGGTCTGGGTTATTTCTGTAGCTTAGCAGAGCAAGGAAAGCGTCTTCTGCTTTTTTTCAAGGGGAGCTTGAGAGTCCTTACCATTCGTTCAGCTTCACCGTTTGCTTGCGGGTACCGAGGACTGGATGTCACGTTCGTGAACCCGTATCTTCTTGCGAAGTCTTGGAAAGGGGACGAGGAAAACTGTGGCCCGTTGTCCGAAACCACGGTCTTCGGGATTTTGTGCCGTGCGAAGATGCTTTTCAAGCGTTGTATGACCGCCACAGATGACGTGCCTCGCTTCAGCAAGGCCAGCTCTGGGTGCCTGGACTGATATTCGACAACAGCAAGGTGCATCTCTCCCTTTAGTTCAAACAGGTCAACACTCAGTTTCTCCCATGGGCGTTACGTTGTTTCGGATGGGATCCTCGGTTCTGAAAATTTTACGCGTTCAGTAGCGAACTTACGACAGTCGGACACGACTCTAGCTATGTCTTTGCTGAGTCCCGGCCACCAGATCGATGTTTTGACTTTTTCCTTGCAGCGAACGATGCACGTGTTGCCTTCATAAAGCATTTGGAGCATCTCTTTCCGGAGACTTCTTGGGATGATAAGTCTGGTGTCCTTTAGCAGCAAGTCGTGGCAAACCGTGATGCTGCCTCATTGTGCCCAGTACTGCTTGAGTAGCTGTGGTAATTTGTGTCTGTCTTGCCATCCTTGTCGGCAGGCTTCAAGTAATGATGAACACCCTCGATCGTTCCTTTCCTCTTAGCGTATACGGTCTAGAAGACTATTCCATGCTGACAGTCCTCGGATGAGGGCGTCGACGTGCGCCGATATTCTTCCTCTGAGAGCATCCCCTTTGATGGTACCGAATGCCTCTTGCTCGTGAATGTGTATCTGCCATGGTAATGGTTTTACCTGGGACGTGCGTGAGGGTGTAGGAAGGCCTCATAAGACGCATTTGAAACCTCTTATTTCTTGGGGGTAGGGAGTCGAGTGGGTCGCGGCGGTGCAACGGAATATAGGTTATGATCTGTCTCGAAGAAGAAAATGAGACCTGTCAGGAGCTTGTCGAAACGTTCTGCTGCCTATGTCAGAGCAAGGGCCTCCTTCTCTATCTGGGAGTACCGCTCTTACGTCTTCGTCATCCCTCGATGGCTGGTTTCGGTGCAGTATGGTGCCGAGGCCGTACGATGAAGTTTCAGAGACAATCGTCGGATATCTTGGGTTGTAGCGTGCAAGCACTTTTCCGAGCATAAGGCGTCCTTGATTTTGGCGAACGCCCGTTCTTGTTGGGGACCCCATAACCAGTAATCGTCTGTGCATAAAGGGCTGCGAAGGTGTGCTGGCATAGATGCGGCAACAGGAAGAAACTTTGCAAGGTGGTTTACCATGCCCAGAAGAAACCGAACTTCAGCTACGTTTTGCGGATGGGGAAGTTCTCTGATTGCCCGAACTTTTTCGGGGTCGGGACGTACTTCGTTGGCGTCGAAAATCATGCTAAAAAAGGATATTTTTTTCGACGGAGAAGCAGCATTTCTTTTGTTTTGTGTCACGCCCTTTTGTTGTAGCCTTTCGAGCACCTTGCGCAGGCAACTCTCGTGTTCAATTTTGTTCGCTTCATACACCAAGATGTCACCCATGTGAACGGACGCCTTCTAAGAATTCCAAAACTTCGTGAACTCCCTGTGGCTACCCTTCGGCGTGACTTCAGCCCCAAAAGTTTCCTTTGGAAGCTTTTGGGGCTGAAGTCACGCCGAAGGGTAGCCTCAGGTAGCAATACCTCCCATGCGAAGTTAAAGTGGTGAGCTCCTGACAAGCCTCCGAGAGGTGGATCTGGTAGAATCCAGAACTTGCGTCCAGCTTTGAAAACACGCAAGCTTCTTGGAAGCTGCCCATGAGCTCCTCTACAGTTGGAAGCTAGTGGCGCTCCCGTCGTACGAGCTTGTTTAGGTGGGTCAGGTCGACGCAGATTCTGACGGTACCTGAAGGCTTCTGCACCGGCACGATTGGGGCGCACCACTCTGTTGAGTCTTCAACCCTTCGGATCATTCCTTCTAGCTATAACTTGTCTAGCTCCTTCTTTACCGTTTCCTTCATTGGTACGGGAATCCAGCGGGGAGTGGACACGGCGTACGGAACGGCATCCAGTTCCAAGCGTATCGTGTGTTCTCCAGGCAGGGATCCTATATGCCAGGGGTGGCCAGGTTGACCCGTCCTAAGAGCCGCAAACAAAACCACGAAACTCCCAAGAGCCGAGGGGGGGGGGGGGGGGGGGGGCAAACTTTTGTCCTGAGCAATAAACGAAACTCGAACTACTTTCAACATATCTGAGTCAAAAGCAGTCCAACTGTACGTAAGGTAGCAGTAGCACAAGGCTACCAAACCGCAACCTCTCTTTCAATTTAAAACGCGTTTAATTAATTTTTTTGGGAAAGTGCTCCTGTGATTGGGAGGAAAGCGGGGGAGTGGGGGGGGGGGGGGGGGGACGAAAGCCGAGTTCACCAGAATATTAAACTGCAAGAATAAACAAAAGAACGCGTATCTCCCGGGAATCGAACTTCGCGTGGGAGGCAAGCGCGATAACCGTTCGTCCATGGCCGCGCTGCCTACTTGGCGCGCGACAATATTATTACCACTTCTTACCTGCTCAAGAGTTCACGTCTGTTCTTGGATTTTCACATTGAGCAGTCGCTCAAGGTATCCATCCTTGGATCTGCCCGTCTCGTCCTCACACTACTGATTTTGGAATGTTTGAACCTTCTTTGTAAAACGTTTGTCAACTCGACAAATTATGTTAAATGTACCCCGGTAGAGGTTGATCGTTACACCAGAAAGAGATGCATCCCTAAAACTTGCGTGGATAATGGCGATTCCTTATTTTTTAACTCATTTTCAATGTCATGCTAAGAGTATCTTTTTTTTTTTTTTTAGTGTACCGAATTCTCAAAATCGACTGTCGATAACTTTGGAAAGACTTCGGGTCGTGTACTTTTTGGGTGAAGTTGAGACGTTCCTCTCGCTTTTCGTATCGTTTCGTCTTGCAGCAAAGACTACACGCGTTTGCGCTTCCGTCTTGTAAGCTTTGCCGCTGCGCGAGCACTGGATCAACGGTGGCGCTTCAACCGCCTCATATCCGAGCTCGGTGCTATACTCTAAACCAAAAACAAAAAATCTGTTCTTAAAATACCTCTTAAGGGTTCTTCGGCTTGATCATAATTTGCACCCTAAAAAAAGTTCTTTTAAGCACCCCTTCGAAGGAATCTGCCTGAAATAGCTGGGAGGAGTTCTTTTAAGCTCCTTTTACGATGCAAAAGACTTCGTCGCCCAGTTGCATTTCGAGGGGGGGGGGGGGGGGGGGGGGGGGACCGTGGTCGATGCGAAACTGCTCTCCGCGATACTGAAAGAGTTCATGCAGCGTGAGAAAACCTTTCAAGCACGGATTTTTTTTTTCCTTATAGAGTACGGCGCTTGGAACGCTCCCCCGACAGGTGTGTTTAGCGTCCTATTCCGCCCATACATCAGAAGCCGTTCCGAAGTGGCAAAAAGTGACGTCACAGAAGCCGGAGTGTCATGCTGTTGCCTGACGCGATCCTGGCGGTCGGTGCTAGAAGTCCCGGTGAAAAGTACGAGCGAACGCGAGTGTCACTGTCGTCGCGGCGTGCCAGCTACTGACTGATGAATCTTCCGTGGACCGTCAAGCTGAAGAGGCCTCTGCCACATGCACCACCGCAGCGGGGTAAAGGTGGGTGAGGAGGAGAAGCAAATTCCGCGCGCCTACATCCTGGGTCCCGAGTGAAAGATCGCGCGAAAGAGAGCGACAGAACACGAGAGAAAGAAACCAATGTTGCCTGCTGAAGGACGACAGTCGCAATGGTAATCGCGAAGACTGAAAACTCTCAGCAATATAAACAGTGATCATTTAACATTACAAACGAAAATCTTAGCTATTCTAACGCCTATAAAAAGCAGTATACTCATTACGCTGCATTAACTTCCCTTCTGTCGAAATCTCGGAAATCTGGTGGTTGCGCGGTTTCGTATTCCTGGGGCGCGGCCACCCGCGAAGCCAGCGAAGCCGGTTGTCTGGTTTAGTTTAGTGTTGACGGGAGGCCGTACATCTGCGCGCTATGCAAAACGAAAGCTTCGAAAGGAACGCGAATATCTTTCCACCGGTAAGTTCGTGGATTGTTGAAGTTCATGAAACTGCTGTGATGATATGATTATATTCGTGAACTCGAATGCAGTTGGTAACCATGTGTGGGACCCCGAAGGTCTACCTGCATGCTCCGCCGCTTGCGGCGGCCAGAGTGCATGGGAAAATGGCGGACCTTTTTCTCTAGAGTTAGTATGTATGATATCTATGCACCGCCGCTGCTGGGACACCGCCAAGATCGCGCACGGCAACAGCATGACACTTCTATGACGACGTTAGGCGAAAATCGAGGGAGCACTTTTTTGGACGGGGTCAACCATAGCCTCCTATATACTAACAAAGCCTGGCAGGTCGCCGCGAGAAGCGGTTGTCGAAATGGAACAGGTGGAGCGGCAGAAAACATATGACAGGAGAGCCACGTGACTGGCGCCCCGCTGCGGCGAGACGCCGAAACACACTTCTCCCGAGCGAACAAGTGTGTTTCGGCTCCTCGCCGCTGCAAAAGCTGCGCGCTGACGTCCAGGTTCCCCAAGGAATGGCTGTTTGATGCTCTGTGCTACCAGATCCTCGCGCTCCCAATCTGCTACTCGGCACTCTAGGGTTCCGTCGTCGAACCTCCAGGCTTTGTTAGTATAGAGGAGGCTAGTCAACACACAAGTCGAAGACGCGTTCCAGGCACCATAGTGGTTCCTCGGCTATAGTAATTGACTAGATGAGAACGGCGGGGCGTCTCTTTAGAATGCTCCGCCTTCAGCACTCGTCATTGCCCTCCACGGTGCTTTGGCTGCCCGTGCTCGCTGTCGAGACGCCGAAGCGCTATCGAATGAAAGATGCTCGCGCTGGAGATGGGACAACTAAAAGACCTTCCTGCCGTTATAGTCCTGTCGGTGCCTATGAAGGAGCAATGTACCGTCCCATAACCAAAGACCCTGCGGGAACCTTTCTTTTCGAACTCTTTGCGGGGTTTAGTTAGCTCCCATCCCACGCCGCCGAATTATCAGCCGAAAGAAAAAAGTTCGCGTTCGGTGCTCACCAATACCGACGAGGCGACATGACCGCGCGGCTTGGCGCTACTCCCGAGTTTCAAGCGGGGGTCCAGAACAAAAATTTTAAGCTTGCCTCGATCATTCTGATAACCCCGGGGAGCACAGAATGTTTCACGCTTGAATTATCCGTGCATTATGATTCGCTTAAGGAATGCTTTGGGTGGTTTCCGATGCGGTACACGCACGACGTACTCACTTGCTTCCTGGGTTTATATAAATTATTGAGACCAGTTTCAATTTATTCGGGACCGCTGGCGTCATGAAATTACTGGGAGACAACGTTATTAGATTACCTCAGCTGTGGAACTTCCGCGGAGGGGGGCACCTCCCCCTCCCTCCCCTCCTCCCTTACTCTCTTCAGCCCGCGTTACGTCGTTTGAATCGCCATCTAGATTTTTGTTTAAAAAGTGTGTGTTCCATAGAGTGCGGTGAAACACCACCTTTATAGGCTGTGCTTCGAAACGTACATAACAGTCACCCAAAGCCGTATATAGAAAGAGTTTGGTCAACGGGAGGGGTGGGCAGAGCTAGGGCGTGCACCAGACGCAAAAAGAGGGCTTGGCAAGCTCTCTTGGCCAACCAGAAGTCGAAAAATATCCCCTAGCGGTGGTAGCTAGAAACAGTTTTAATAAGCGCGTAAGAGTTAAAGGAAGTAACTTTTCGTGGTTGAAAATATGGTGCACGTAATGTTTCGATTATGATCATGCAAAAATATGCAATAATCGAATATGCCGCTCGAACTCCGTTCTGCTCAAACGGAGTCTGACCCCTCGGACGGCAGTGTCTTGGCCCTCAGCGCCTGGTGTATGGATTACGTCGATCGTTTTGCTACATTTTTATTTTGCACGACCGTGATTGAAAAATCACTCCCACCATATTTTCAGTCCCCGAGAGGTACTCCAACGCACTTTTTTTTAATTTTGTCTCCCGCGACCACCGCCAGGGTATTTATTATTCGCGGCTTCTGGCTGGCCACATCCAAATTTGTGAAGACGACCTGGAACACGGCCAGCCCTCTTTCGGCCAATGGCGCCTCCTCATTTGCCTCCTATACTTCCCAATGTACTACGGTCAAACTCTCTCTATAAACCGCTCTGCAGTTACCTAGCAGCCGTCCTTCAAACACTGTGGCGCGTCGAACGATGGGAGGAGAGCCGCAGGGGGGGTGGGGGGTACTATTGTTCGTTCTGTAGCCGAGCTAGTCTAGTAACGCTGCTTAAAGAGCTACACTTCGTTATTCGGAATCCAGCTGCTCGCGACGACACTCGCCTCTACTTTTGTAGGCACTCTCGAGTCACACCTAGTCGTGTTGCTCGTGCTTCAGCTCGCCTCCTACTATGTCACCGAGCAAAGGCTTCGGGTTGCAGATGGCACGGTCTGAAGTCTAATTCTCACTGCGCCGCTCGGTTCAATCTCTCTAACAATGGTTACAGTCGACTAATTATGACTAATTTTACTTTTACATGCTTTGTACGCGTATGCACATCCCTCTATGGTATATATGTTCTTTATGTTGTCCCGACCCGCTCGCAACCGATTTTCGTTACACTAGAGCTTATTGCTTTTGCTAAAGAAGACCTATGCTGGGCACACATTGAACGCGAGTGTGACGTCAGCCTTCGGTTGGGACTCGTGTTCTCACTGATTGGACGCCAGCCCCAGCCCAACGCTGACGCGGCTCTCGTGCCAAACCTCCGTCTCGTGTCGGCTTTCCTTAGGTGACGCCGAAAGTTCAGCACTACAACTTTGTTATCGAGGAGTATGTGGTGCCTGGAACGCGTCTCCGACTCATCTCTTTACCGTGTTCAAGAAAGTGGTCCCTCAATATCCGCCTTGTGACGTCACAAAAGTGTCACGCTGTTGCTGACTGTGATCCTAATGGTGTCATGGCAGCAGCGGTGGATGTGGCTGACGCCTGTTCTGCTGCAGGTCGCTCTTTAGTTTGAAAGACCACGAAAGCTTCGACAGCCAGGAGTTGGGACACAGCGACGACAGCGACACCCACGTTCATTTGTCGTAATTTTCGCCGGGACGTCTACACCCAACCACCAGGATCGCGACATCCGACAGCGTGATACTCCGGCATTCGTGACGTCATTTATTGCCACTGCGGGACCGCTTCTGATGTAAAGGGGGGGGGGGGGGGAGGGGGGGATGGGACGCTAAACACACCAATCGGAAATGCGGTCCCGCCACCACTTGGTTTCGCTTTAAGTCCAGGCACAGCCGACGCTACGAGCTATTGGGACCGATCAGACAGCGTCAAAAGAGCACCCACGTGATGTTTGTCATGTACCTGTACGTGTCCTATCATCGCCGAACCAAACACAAACAGAGAAGGTCAAGTGACTTGAGCGTTTGACTCCGCTTGATTGATCCTAGAAGCTCGCAGCGTCGTCTGCCTCTAAACTTAATATGACAATGAAATAAAGAAAGAAAACGTTAAAAAAAACAACAACAACAAAGGACACGCCTTAAAAAAAAAATTGTTTCTCAGAATTTTTTTTTTTTTTTTTTTTTTTTTTTGCGCGATAGTTACGTTGTTAGGCGCAATTTAGATGGAGATTCTACGCTTAGAGGAACCTAAAAAAAGAAGACACGGAGCTCACAAGCTCGTACTGGATTGCACTCTTTAGCATTAATGGTGGGTCAATATTAATAGTGAGTTTTGTTCGCCATTTGATTTATTATAAAAAAATACAGCGTACCCATAGAGTGTAATAAGCCAGGACAAAAAGTTTACGTTTACATTGAGCAACTTTATTTGATATATTTAAGATACAATCTACAAATATGCAAGATAGGGGTATAATATAACTCGGTGAATGATTGAGCCTTGAACTTATAATAAATAAATTTTGTTATTACAAACAGATTATAGTTTCGACATAGTAACGTTCCGTCGTTACAAGCAAAAACTCAGCAACAAAAAACACTTCCAACTGTTGTTGTTTTATCTTTTACAGGCGCTGCGAGGACTATTGGAAGTCAATGACGAGATCGTGGAAGTGAACGGCACGGATGTTCAACACGCTGACATCATGACCGTCAATTCCCTCATGACGAATCAAAATACTCTGCTACTCACTGTGCTACCTTACATCTGCCGCAAGGACATTTGACTATGTTTTGAGACAAAACGCCGACACTTGGCAAAGACGAAGGACAACGCGACAACACAAAGTGAGACTACGTGTTTATTGCTTGTCCTTCGCATTTCCCCAGTCTCGGTGTTTTGTATTAAAATAGTATGTTCTACCATCAGCAGCTAGTTTGCTTCCCAACTGCTTGTACATTTGATTGCTGGCGTCGAAGGGACCCGGAAATATTTGCATTTTCAAACCGCTGACAACTGTAATGTTCATCAACGCCTGACCTGTGATATATCACCCGTGTGAAGTCTCTTCACAACAATGTGTGTGTATACAAGGTGTTTGACTTGTTAATTTAAACAGATTTATGTATTTGTTATGTATTTATTACGCTCATGAACATTAAATCAGAAGAAAATCGTCAGGGAATGCTAACAAATTAAATTAAATGTGTTAATGTGCTTTTAATTATCGCTCCTAGGGCTCATTTTGCAAATGCAGTATTGACGGTAATTAGTATTGGGGAGGCAAGACCGCTGTGAAGAGTTATCAAGAAATTAATGATTTGTGGGATAATATTCTACCGAATTTCGCGTTTCTTCTCCCTGCCTAAAAATTGCGTGAAAAGAGAGCTCTACAAGCCCTGTCCACAATGACGTTTAGAAGAGTGACGTAACCTTTTCACTGACGTCGTCACCTCTGTTGCCGGTGAACCCACCAGGGACACGCTGCCGAGATAGTGACGAGATGATTGAATCTAACACGTCACTCTTGCCATCGTCATTGCAGGCCGGGCTTGAGGCGCTTTTTTTTCTTTGTTTTTCTTAGCGCACTATTTAAAATCGTCTTGGAAAACGTGGAAATTAATGGATTACTAGCTCAACTATAATTACATTTACTCAAATTTCTTCCAGTGGTCTGGACTCTAATAGTAATTTCGGTCAGTACTGCAATTAACACAGGAGCGCCGAAAAGTAATAATTAAAAAGTTAATTAACGAGTCTTTGTTATTTCTTCAAAATACCACGATTATTATTTTCTCATCTAATGCCCGCCGAGCCTGATAAAAATAACGACACATCTAAATCTGACCTTTTTTTAATATGTTGGAATGAATATCACACACCCCGCATGCTACTTCGTAACAGATTGCGTATTGATAATGTATGTTGTGCTTCAATTGTGTAGAATAGAAAGTCACTAAGCATTTTTTTTCAGAAATGCGTTGTTTGTTGTGTTAGCTTCGTTCTAAATACTCGTGATATTTCGTGCAACATGTGTCTCAACGTGTCTGAAGAGGTCGCGAAAATAATTGACGCTTCTATAGTCATATAGTCAGAGACAGGATGGGAAGTGCAGGGCGTCTCCTTCGAAGGCTTGGCCTCGAGCGCGCCCTCGGTGCCCTCCGGAGTGCTTTGTATGCGCGCTCGATCCTCACGAGACGCCGAAGTCTGGTAGACTCCGATGTCTCGTAGACACCGAAGTCTTTTAGATGCCAAAGTCTTGTAGACACCGAGGTTTGTAGGCGCCAAAGTCTTGTAGACGCCGAAGTCTTGTTGACGCCGAAGTCTTACAGACGCCGAAGTGAGGATAGGAAGCTCTACCGAAAGCCGTGGGAAAACTGAAACTCCTCTTTGTCGTTCTCATTCACTCTTTGACTATATCGGCTTAAGAAACGCTGGGCGTCGCGTGTCCTGAACATCTAATTAGTACTCCGCAACCGATCAGAATGCGGAATTAGCAGACAGTAATATAATGAGATGTACAACACGCACCAGACCCCGTGTCTATTTTTTTAGTCTGTCAGTGAGTACAGTACTTTCAGATGGAAACCTGACGTGTTATTAAAAACCAGCGAAATATTTTAGAAGCAGAGGCTCTTTGCGATACGTCAAATGTCATTCAAGAACTTAAAAAGAAAGTTGTGCCTACTTTTGTTTTTACTTTGTAAAGAAGGTTGCAATATTTATTTAGGAATATTACCGAGTCACCCGTGTTGCTCGCGTATTTTTGTGCGGCCTGATACGAGCATACGATATATTTTTTCAGTCATTCGCTAAGGTACGTTTTATTAAGCGCGTATGAACGCTATTGTTCATAACGTATGCATGTCTGGACAGCGAACGAACGGAACTGAAATGTCGCGAAGCCTTCTAAGATTACAATCGTTCCGGTATCTAACGACCCTTTTTTTTTAATGTCACAGGGTGCTTTAGAGAGTATCAGCAGTAACAGAACATACTTATTCAGATGGGTTAGACGGGAGACTTCGTATAGATGCGTATCAAACGTAACTTTCGTGTTTGGCAGCGGCACGCTCGTAATTATGAATGAATATTTCTATATTGTTATGCTACCTAGATCCGGATGCTCAGTGATGTTATGCGTGGAAGATCTGATTTTTTATTTAGTGTGCTGAGTGCATTAAATAATGACCCCTGATCAATATCTGTCGTGACGATTTTTTAACTTTGCGCGCCACATGCAAAAAAATATGAAATAACAAATTAAGCTGGTACTATACTTTGTTTCAGCTTCGGTCTGAGCGCGGCCGATATTATGAGCCGAAGGGCCAATCAAACACAGCAAAAAGCGCAGCGTCATGGCGTGCTCTCTGTCCTTGATAAGACTAGCCGGCGGAGGAGCACGCACAGAGAGACGGCGAATACCGGCTGGTCCTATCAACTGCAGAGAGCACGCCAGGACGTTGTGCCTCTTTCGCTGTTTGATTGGCCCTTCGGCTCATAACATTGGCCGCGCTCGGACCGAAGCTGAAACGAAGTATAAATGTCAAAATGTAAACTTCGATAAGATAAACTGATAAAACAGCTGGGAGACATTGTCGAATACTTAAAAAATGATGAAAAACGACCTTGCACCTGTTTGAGTATGACAACTAAGATTTGTGTGTAGGGCAGGTATAATATTGTGCTCTATAATTCCCCCATAACGGTCAAAGTGATGTCCGGGTCAACCTGCCGAATCGGCTGCCAAAATAAAAATGCGAAAACATTTCACACATACACCAGAATAACCTACACTCCGGACATTTTTGACGTTAAATGCTGAGGATATGGGCTGGGTTCTCAAGAAAACATTTTCGATACAGAAAACCCATATTTTAGGATTATTGGCACATGCTATAAAAGCAATAATGTATCGGCGCGCGGGCCTATCGGCGTGCCGGTCTATCGGAATATTTATTTCTTGGTGCATAGATCTATATGGGACAATACTCTAGGGGATTCGACATATTGGTCCGTCTGTATATGAGTCTATGTATTCCTATTTCCACGAAGTACGATTGGTTCACCGGGAATTTTTTGTTGTCAAAATAATTGCATTTGTTCCAACGTTTATGAATGTTCGGCTTTATGCGCACCAAACCGGTTCCACAATGGTACAAGAAAAAAAAAAAGTCGTGTTCAATGGAGAAAATGTTTGAGAAATATATATTTTATTATTCGGATACAAGTATTCAGTATGTTTAAAGCTTGAGAAATGCAATGTGGCCTATTGTATCATAATCGTTTTATACGTAAAAAAAAAAAAAAAAAAAAAAAAAAAAACAGAGAACACGAAGTGCCATGTGAGGAGGTGTGTGGCAGGTGCAGTGCGCTGAGGGATCGGTCGGCGACAAAGCTGGAAGCAGAAGGACGATTTTTATTGGGACACTCTGGTTCCAAGTGGTCCTTCCTCCTGAAGCACTAAGCTGCCAACCTGTCAGACGCAAGCTCAGAAGGTGACCAGCCACAGTGAACGCCATCGCTTCCATGATACAACCACTTGACCTTCTGGTGGATCGATTGCCCGGCGCTGCTTCAGCAACCGTCATTTGCAACTTCCTCCAGTGCCACAGCTTCTCGCAAGCCTACTAGCACGATGACAATCAACTCTACGGCCGGGACTTTGTAACCTTCGAGCTCCGGCAACACACTTAAATAATTACCGATGTGTGAAGTGTCCGTTATTTATTAGACTCATCTGTGTATAGTCATTTGTATCTTCAGCATTTCGTTTACTTTTTTTTTCATTGTACAGTAAATGGTTTCCCAGAGTCTCGGAGTATCTCCTGTCATTTGCCCTATCATAATCACGAAGAGTATCCCAAATGGAATGAGGAAAACAGTGAATTAGCCAAGTAAAATTACAGAGATCGTAATGCAAGACTAAAACCAGAAATTACATTATGACATTACTCTATACACAAATGCAATATGCTTACTTCATTCGGGGTAATGCACACAGTGAATGTCTAATATATACAAGGAGAGCTAAAGGACTCAGTTCTTTTCAGGTAAGTATAAAAAATCGCCTTCTCACGCTCTGACGCTGTAATTTAGCTCAAACGTGCAACTGGGTGGTGCATTTGTTTTTTGAAAATATAAAAAAAGCAAGCTTGCAACCGTAGACTTCACAACTAACACATAATTTCTATATAGCGCGCGGATTAACCTTCGTGTGCCAAAGTAAAAAAAAAAAGTTAAAAACATTTTAGGAATTTGAGAAAAAAGAAACGACGGAGAAGAAATCAAGTCTGACTTTGCACTCGTTCACACTTTTGACCAATAAATTGCTCGAATGTCCCACAAAAACTCTTTTTAATTTTTAGCTTAAAAAACTTAACTGCCTACCGATTGAACCAAAGCAAATCGTTGTTTTTTTTGTTTTTTTTTTTGCTGTAAATTTTGTTTGAGGAAATATTGCTCTTCCATAATTTCACAAAACAAATGCACTGCCCAGTCAAATCTTTTTTCTAAACACAGTATCTGAGCATCCGAAAAAGTTTTGTGATTTATTTAAAGTGGGTTCGATCGATTTCTCAATGGCTCTAAAAGTAATTGATAGCTAATAGTGAAAAGACGGTGAGAGTGCAGGCGAGCTGGTGGTAGCTAATCATGTCGTATTACACCTGAGACTGCGGTGGAAGAAATCGGAAGAACTTTCAGTAGAAGGAACAGACACAGAGAACGTCTCAATTGAGACGTTCTCTGTGTCTGTTCCTTCTACTGAAAGTTCTTCCGATTTCTTCCACCGCAGTCTCAGGTGTAATACGACATGATAGCTAATAATTCGATTACTGGTTATGCGTAAAGGCACAAACCTGCAAGTTGGCGCTTCACCAAAGCCAATACAAAGAGCTACATGATTTTTGGAACAAGCGCAGACATCAACAAAGTGATACGGCTGTGTATTCCTCACCGATATACAGCATGCACACCAACGCTTGAACCACACTTGGGGCGGTCCGCAAAAATCAGCTTCTCAACGTATCGCCCTAACATTTGCTAGAGGGGTGCAGGCAGGTGGTGCGCACATAAAGTTGAGAGAAGAAGACGGTGACAACACTGATGCTGATAACCCTTTTTGCGTTTCTGAATTTCCCTTACGTAGCCGATAAATTGCGTGTTTAAACAGTATTTTCGAATATTACCAAGTAACAG